TTTTTAACTGAACAGACAAAAACATGCAAGGACCAACTGCTGAACACTGAAGTCATCCAAGTTCATGTTAAAAAGAAGATGGAATTTTTTGTCAGAGGAAGCAATTTACCAGTTTGAGTAGATTAAAATGGATGTGGGAGAATGAGTTGGGATGGGTCAGCACCTCTTTTTTGTGTCCCTGAGGATTTGTCTGCTTTTCTTCCAGTTATCTCAGCCGGGCTGATAAAATATATTGCCTGTCTCCCTCCTCCGTGGCCTGATTCTCACTCCAGTCACAAACTCTTGAGTCAGAGTAGGGATGGTGAAATTGTGTGGCCTGTGGTTATGGTAGGAACCCCTAATACTCTTTGGGTCTTTAAAAATCTATTACTTGACCATGGGTTGCAAGAAGCCTCAAATGACTAGATGTGTTTCCCCAACTTTTATATTGTTTCTGTATATAGACAACTCCTATTTCTTAGAACAGATTGTAGATACACTCAGTCTGCCATTCTGTTATATCATCCTGCTACGTTAGCATTATATTGCTTTCCCAGGGCTCTTTGCCACTATGATTGTTCACTTCTCAACAAATCACATTTAATGTTTACTTTATTAATATTGTCTGCATCAATCTCTGAATAACAGATAATCAAGAGAAGGATTCCCTCCTTGAAGAATCATGTTTACTTATTCTTTTGATTTCTGCTATATAGTTATGACAGCATTTAGCTATGGTGACCTTCGTATTACCAGAGTGAAGGAACTTACATCCCTCGCAGCCCCTCTACTCTCTCACCTTTGATCACGGATAAATAGGGGAGGATGATATCATAGAGGTACCTAACCATTTTCTTTCTCCTGTGTATGAATTATGGTTATGGATAACTGTTAGATGTGTTGGTCAAAGACTTTGTCTTTATCCAAGCCTCTTCAAGCATAATTTCCACTAGCCTAGTTATGTATGACCTTCAGTATTAGTCCTTTTTTTTTCACATTAGCTACATCAGTTCCTAACAATCTCATCCCACGTCGTGCCAAGTTCAGTCTGACTCCAGCCTAAAAATATTGTCTGTCGAGATATTGCCATTATCTCAAACTTTTTTCTGCTTGCAATAGGTGGATGCTCAAATTCTTTAACAAGTTTCAAATTTTCAAAAAATGCTATCCAGTATGTAAGTAGTGCAGGTGGAATTTAACTGGAAATGTACACAGTTATATTACTTAAATGATAGCGAGGTTTGGTCCTTATTGTGTCAAAATTGGTTTTTGGTCCCTGAGATCGTTTGCTGTTCATTTTCTGTACTTTCACATTCCTGGCTTTCAGAGTAACCCACACAAACTTTTCCTACGGGGATACATCCATTTGCAAATCACCTCCATCTGAATATTGTATAATTTAGTGATGCAAAGACTTAAATTATCTAAAACAGTTGAATAAATATCCTCAAATTCCTCTATTGCTTTCCTTGCATCTGGCTGTGCCCACCAAGTGTTCTTTAAATTACAGAGGGTAAAATTGTGCCCTTTAAGCTTCAAATATATAAAAATGTAGAAACTTCACCGAAAGAGCCCTACAACCATTTCATCCAGTCCTCCATTTTCAAGGTCACATTAAGCATGACTATGATTAGACATCCAAGTAATTAGTTTCTTCTTTTCTCTGGTTTTGTGTCTTTGGTAAATCTCATAGGTAATTCAATGGAAACTGCTGACACATCAATGAAAGTCAAAGGGGTTGAAAAACAGCAGTCTGACCCTTGTAAATGAAAGCAGAATTGGGTCCAGAAAAAGGAGTGAAGTACTGAGAACACAGCAGGTGATTTTAAAGTATGCTTAAAATCTCCAAAACAAGCTTAAAAGACTCCCTCCGTGAAGGAAAGGAGGATATCTAAACATGCTCTAGTAATTTTCATGTAACAAATCCAAGAAAGGGAGCACACACCATCATCAGCTCCCAGGTATATCTCTCCCGATACTGTTTCAGCCAGACAATATCAGGCTGTCAACATCTGACTGACCCATGTTTCACTGCTCCTCAGAGGACCATGTCTCAGAGAACTTTGTCTACTTAATGGCAATCAAAATGGCAAAGACTGAACAATGCTACCAAAACACTGGTTTTTGAAAAGATTTTACTAAAATCTTACAGCTCTCTTTGAGAATATGAAACTAAAAACTCTTTTTGCAGGAACTGACAAACTGTCCCTGATGTAGGAAGCGAGCACTGATGAGATCTTACCAGATTCATATTGAATCAAGTAGAAAAGCAACCTGCATTACTGGATTTGCCACCACTGATCCAAAGGCCATTGACAGGCCAGCACAGTGGAAGACAAGAGTAAATTAACATCTAATGTTACATATAGTACTCGGCCAGTAAGAAAGTCTGCCTAGCTGAGACAAAGAACATACCCCTAATGAAAGAGATTTCCTAGAATAAATGCCAGTATTTGCACCACAGCCAAAGGAGAGAGGAAGAGGCCTGGAAGGTAACTGAGATTAGAGATCCTGTCTGCCATACCCAGGTGCCTAAAGTTTTATTTTAAGTGTATCCATTTTAGGCAGAGGTTAGGCAGGATCACTTAGGATGAAACCCCCAGTTCTTATAATCAAACTTTAAGTGGGAAGTTCTCATCTGGGGAGACTTTGGAGAACTTAATATCTTAGGACAGATAAGGAGCAGATGTAGAAGGGAAGGGGTAATCATGCTCTCTGCTTCCCAAACCCCCAGTCTTTGGGAACATCTTTTCTAGCAGGTTTGGGGTTGTTTTTTTTTTCATTTTTATGTCTACAGCTCAGAATTCAGAGCTGCAATAGAAGCGAACAGTCAGGTGCACACTACATTTTAATAGTCTGCTCTTTTGCTTTCTCTTATTTCTGGCTAGTTGCATAAGGGAAATAAGGGACAGTTCTTCTTATCTTTTCCAAATAGCAAAATATTCCAGTTTTCCTCAAACAGAAAATGAGAAATTTTTACATTTTTCAGGTTCTGGCTGATCTTATTTTGACTCTCTGCTGCACTGATCATGCCAGTTTATGTGGATCAGTCATACCAGTCATTTGTTGCTAAGGGTATGCCTTGTATCATTCCTGGATCACTGGCAGTGATTTGTGAACTGCACAGAAGAAAAACAACAAAAGAGAAGATGTTGTTAATAGTTACTATTGATATCAAAGTAGTTTATAGTAAGCCACTCAAAGCCCAGGATCAGGACCCTCAAAGCTATTTTCAAGGCTCTGCAAGCACTCAGAGCACATCGGTAGTCTCTGTTCTAAAGAATTGCAGTCTAAGATTGGTGCTAGCAGAGGCACACAGGTGGGAGAACATTGGCAAACAAAATACTACCAGGAAGAATAATAGGTAGCAGTCATAGCTTAATCAACAGCCTGACTCTTGCAAGTGTGTTTTGTAGGCATCAGAGCAAAGGAGGATTTTTAGGTAAGATAATGAGGATATCTGTGCCTGTTACAGGAAGCTTCTCTCAAGCCTGGGAAGGCATGAAGATGTCTGAGTGAAATCAAATAAGACTCTGGGAGGGGCCAGCATCAGAGGCTAGTGGGTGGCAGTAATTGACCTGAGTATGTGATGAGAAGCGGGTAAACTACCAGAGGCTTTGAAAGTCATGTAAAGAAAATTTGCTTGTTAGTGAGGTATTAGTGGAGGAGTGAGGGAAGGGAAGGGATGCACAAAGAAGAGATGAAGAGAGGAGTCATGGCCACAACAGCAGGCTATGGAAATGTGTGGAAATGCAGCATTTGGGTATGTATAGTGCAGCTTCCAAGGCTAGAAAAAAGTAACTGAAACATGAGAGAAACCAGCCGGTAGTTTTAGCTACTAAACGTCCCTCGCTCCACTCTTAAGCAGAGGCAGCTTGGGCAGTGACATAACTTCACCTGAGGTTTTTCCAGCATCTTATATGGGGCTTAGGGTTTTGGAGTGTAGAAATCCCCCATGATTTAGTGCTCTGTTTTAAACATGAGAGAGACTGTGAGTCTTGGAGGAATATGCAAGGATGTTCTCTCTCCTCCTTCCCAGTGACAGGAGTGTAAGGGGGGGGGAACAGAAGGTCGGGCTCCCGTGTGGAGGTGTGCCCAGCTGCAGGAGCAAGCAGTGGAGGAGAGAGCTTGGAAGTGAGGGGGAGAAAGTTCATGACTAGGATGAAAAGTCACGATGTAAGGGGTTGTGGGGACAGACCTGGGCCAAGTCCAAAGAATGTTCGACAGTGATGAGAAAGCCATGGAAAACCCAGAGACAGTTGCAGGTTGCTTTTTTTTTTTTTAAATAATAGATGCATATTTTTCTTGTACTTGGTAAGAAGAAGACTGCTTGGGTTTGAAAGTCTTGCCTTGCTCTTAAAGAGGTGAACTGTACACTCAATGTGCCTTTGCAGACCTCCTCGAGTGTAGAGACAGGACTTTGAGGAGAGTAAGCATTGGGGAAGGGGTGTAACAAGATTTTCCCAAGGAAGGAAAGGGAAACCCACAATGATAAATGAAATTCACAACTGAAATATAAAAGCTACAAAATAAAATTGTCTGATTCTGCTTCCATAAACACAGACATGATCTTGCAAATGAGGATAAGTCCACATCTCAATTTTTTAAAATCCATTAACATTTTAAAGGCTACACCCAGAAGCAAGTTTTTTTTAAGATCAGCTCAAAACCTCTATCTGGGCATGTTCTACCTGAGACCTGAATCCTTTAAGACTGACTTCTTCCTGTAATGAAAAACAAAACATACCTTTCTAAATAGAAATCACATCTATGTTTTACAGTTAAGTACTCCCTTCCCCAATAAACACACATATACACTAGACATGAAGAAATGCAGTTTTACAGGCTTCTATGAGACCTGTCAGTTAAACAATTTTTGGATAATGAAAAGATTGGAAAATAATAACAGGCCACATCTTTCTATGGCATTGGCTACAGCTTCCTTAAATCATCAGGTCGATGCTGATCCAGGCTGCTGATCTGGCTCTTTAGTTCTACTTGGTTACTTTTCTCAAAGTCAGATGAGATACAGTTCTGCTTCCAGCCAGGGGGACGTACCGCTGGCTCATATTTGGCAGAAGCTTGAAGTGACACGATTTCATTTATCTACCTCTTTTGAGCCTTTTGCTTCTCAGAGTCTTTGTTTTCTTCCTCAAAGAAAGAGCTGCACATAGAGCAGTGGCAATACTGATGGCCTTTGCTGGCTGGATTATTCTTTGGTAGAGTGGATTTAACACTTTGCAGCATCTAGACCAACAGTTTCATAACAGCCTCACTCCAAGACTAGATTATGTTGGATTTAATTGGTTTATGCAAACTCTCACTTGTCACCAGAATGAGATCTTCAGCTGTGTTCTACCTTGCAAAGTGCTGCTGAGAGTAACTGCACGTATCCCAAATCCCTCAAAGGGCCTCCTGACCTTGCAAAGCTCTGTCATTTGGACAATGCCATAGCCATTTGCTACTGCTTTAGTCTTCCTGCCCTACTCTGCTGACGAAAGTAGGCCTACAAGATCTTTGTGGTCTTCAAAATTTCTTCCTTTCCTGAATTTCAGCATGTTGTAAGTGTCTCTCTCTAAGCCTCTTGCTAAGCAGAATGGACAACTAAATTTTGCAATTAAGTCTCATACTGCAGAAGAAACTGTCAACTAGTAAACACTGACATCCTAAAAGGACTCAAATTAATGGATAATGCGTTTTGTTAAATTAGCAGCCCAAATCTGCATGCCAGCAAAAGCTCCTAGCTTCTGATTACCTCTGGGAACAAAGAAGAGTAGAGCATGCTTATAAATAGTGGCAGTGGGCTTAGCATATGTTACCTTCTTTCCTAGATAAATATTAATTAGCCATGCAGAAGAACCAGATCCTTAGTAGGAAGAAATCTTTGTAGCTCCCCTTAAATCAATGTTGGCATGCTGATTTCACAAGAAAAAGATTTGATTCTTAATTTTCAGCAATATTACTTCTTTGCTGTGATTCACTGCATTGCACAAGTTTCCACCAAGCTTTCTGCATTAGTAGCTTGTTGCTTTAAAATGTGTGCAGACTTTTTTTTTTAAACACAGAATTCAGTGTTTCATTTCTGAAAACTTGATATTTGGGACCTGTTTGAAATCAGCTCTGGATCCTGAAAGGAAACCCTTACAGTTCTCAACCTCTAAAGCAGAAAGAAAGATCTGAACATACTGAAGTGGGCCAAAGCTTTAAACCTTATATAGGTCCATATCTGAAAGTGGAGGATTTATCTTCTGCCAGATCTGAGCACAGAACATGAGACTTTTCATTTGAATCCCTACAGAGTCTAAACGCAGGGTCCTTTGGCTTCATGCTGAACAGGTGCTCTTCTCTTTTTTTTTCCTTATGTGACAGGCAGGAGTTAAAGGTTATGCCATCGACTTTCAGTCATGGTAGACAGCTGTACCTTTATGTCGTACTGTCATGGCTATTTCCTACAGTTCATTCCTCGATGGATCTGCATGTATTTCATCGCAGACAGATCCTGTTGGGTGAAAACCCCTTCAGGTGTACAACTGGAGACAGCCTGAACTATAGGGATGATTATTCCGCCAGACTCTCTGGCAGCAAATCAGATATTTGCACTGATTTTAGTGTGAATTAGAGGCTCCAGCAGCCTCAGATGGAAACCACAATAACGAGGAGGCAACAGCCTTTTACACACAAGCAGTCATTTCTTCTGCTTTGTAACGAAGCAGGAGAATAATGGGCAGCATGGAAGGAGAGAAGCTGTGGCAGGATTGAAGCAGTTTCCTGTGGAGCATCTGCAGGAACATCATTAAAGAGCAAACCCCTTGTAGATGAATGAGGAACAGTCACCAACCTCAACTGCTGCCTCCATGAACTGAAACGTGTCAGGATGGGTGCAGTGTCTGGAGATGAAATGGTAGAGACAGTGTAAGGGAGGACTGGAGTTTCTTTTTGCTTGACCTCAGTTGGCTATTTAAAGAGTAATTGAATACTCTTCAGAGGATATTTGAGTGCATTTTTCAGCAACTGTGCCTGACCAGTATGAAGAATAAGGAGATAACTCGATCTGGCTTTATTCCTCTGGGTCGAGAAACTCGGTGTATATCTGTGCCTGTTGAGCCCATGTGCTTGTTTCTTTTTCTGGGTCCTTAGAGTCAAAATCAAAAACAGGCCCAGCTGTTCCTTATAATTAAATTTCAGTCACTCAAGCTGGGTGTTTTTATTTTGACTAGTGACTTAAAAGTGTTGGCATTTAAATGGCCTCAGCTATATTTCAAAGTTAACATTGAGAAACTTCACACATGTATTAGCGTTATTTGTCTGTTGGCAAACTCAACAAAATACCACTGCGTTGATTTACATAGTGAAGGTTATCTTTGCTAACAGAAGGACTCAGAATTTCATTATTTAAAATATGAGGATGAATCTCATCGCAGTGCAGGAGGCTACAGATGGCATTACACACAACTTGCCACCTGAGTCAAGGGCAGAGGTGAAGTTTATATTGTGCACTGAGCCCTGCGTTCAAATATACCTTAAAGATCCAAACCCCAAAACCCAAACAACAATATCTGCGGCCAGCACAGATCTGACTGTTGGATGAGGACTCTTCTTTTCTGGCACTTAGATTAGTTTCTATGTGTCTGTCTTCTCGCTCTAATTTATTTATAAGTCATTGATGACATTTATGCCATACATGGGCAGTTTGTGATGCAATAAAGCAGTAATAGGCTCAGTTTTCATTGCGGTTTCTATATTTGGGTATTTTAGTACATCAAAATCTGGATAGAAGAAGTATTAACAGTCTTACACCAGCAGAAAGAAATTAATTTTATGCCTGCCTCTGCACAGAAGCTAAAAGCTTCAGGAAATGGGATCTCTTCCCATAAGCATCTTTTCAGATCCAGTTAGGAGAGGTGAAGGTAAACAATGAAATGCAGTCTTCAGGGTGACAGCATAGCAGCGAGGTATGATCGTTCACGTGATAATACATATGATTCACAATATGTTTCTGACTGGCACAGTACTTACTGATGATCTAGGTAAAACCTAGTTCCTGCTTTCATCAAGCCTTGTCCCGTGGGAGCCCAGCCGTGGCACGGAGCTGTGTGCAGCCTGGCTGGGCAGAGAGGAAGAGTAACTTTTGAAAGTCTGAGTACCTCTTGCTCTGACACAAATCCTGGGAACCAGAACGCACAGCCTAAAGAAAGCAGCAGCTCCAGTGTCTTCTGCGTGCCCCACCAGCAGTGATGTACAGCGCCAGGTCCATGACATGGAGCAGTATTAAGAAGCTGGCTTTACATTCTTGCTGCAGCTACATGCCTAACCCAAGACTGAAGTCCCAGAGAGAAGCGTGGAGAATGCTTACTGAACCTGCCCAGGAGAACCAGGTGACCCTTGTGAGAAGTCAAGTGAAGTCACCACAGCTAGACCTGGCATGGCCTGGGTGAATGTTTTCCTGACCACTGGCAGCACTACTATATAACTGAGTAAGAAACAAGTAAGCACAGCAGAAGAAAACAAACAACGGAGGAGAAAAGCATCTTCTTGCCAAGACAAAGAGGGAAGCAATGAATGATGATTACTGATGAATAATACCCAGAATTAATGGAGAAGGGCAACAGCAAAAGCTGTGCACAGAACACAAACATTTTGTAATGAGGGTAAACAGTGACATTAGTAGGGTGGCCAGAACTCATCGCCTATTCACATAGTACTTGTCTGCATTACAGGACATGGCTGATGGCAGTGGCTAGGGCTAGAACATTACCTTTGGAGGCTCTATAATTTCATCAGAAGAGCCTTTCCAGAAGGGGAAAGCTGTTCCAAAGCTGAATGAAGGGACCAGGTTTTGCTCTTGTTATTATTGGTGTTTTAAATTTAAATCAGTCTCAGATACGTAGCCCTATTTGGGAAGAATGTTGAGCTATGGAGGCTCGAGGGCAGCTGCCAGCTTAAGCACAACTAAATTCAGCCAGAATTGTCAAGCAGAAGTGGAAGCAATAGCACACTGTATTAGAAACCAGGATTATAAAATCTCTGCCCATCAAAGAGACCAGAAGAATATAGATAGCTCTATATTATTATTTTTAATGCAGTAAAGCCTAGAGGCTCCAACCAATTACCAGGCTCTACTGAGCACAAGGAGGCACCACAAAATAAAAACATGGAAACAGACTAAACCCTATCACAAGTCCTTTTGGGAAAACAGAAAGGCTTATTGACATTTTGTCTTCCTATCAGTTTGGTGAATGTAGGCAAACCTTGACTACCACACTTCGATTAATCCAAGGCAATCCTCTCCCTAGCTCACTTCTTGAGAGAGCCTAACTAAAGAGCGGATCTGGGAATGATTTTACAAAATCTCAAGCACTGTCGCTACTTTTTGATCTCAGGGGACCTGTGGGTGCTTAGCGCATCCCAAGATCAGGGCACCTTGCCCAGTACTGAAACAGGGAGGGAAAGGGTCATCCCTGCAGGGCTCTGGCTTTCCCACACTGCTGTGCAGCCCTGGCTCTCCCTCAGTTCAATGCTTCTCTTCCTAGAGTTTCCTCACCCCTCTGGGCCACGATGGATCCTCTCCAGCCTCCTCTTGCTGTCCTTCCCTGACCTGCATCCTCTCAGGTGTGCCAGTCCCTCTTGCTCAAGGATTATCAACTGGGTGCTGAGGTTTTTCACTCTGCCCATAAACTCGATGTCCCAGGCAGAACAATGCAGTGCCTATCCCTGCGTGATGCTGAGCACGGCCCAGGAAGGACAGGGTCACAGGGGAACAGTTTGCCTTCCCACCACAGAGGAAAACAGCCAGGAGGAGACATCTGAGAAGGGAGCGCTGAGAGTTTGCAGGGAACTTAGGCAGGTAGCAGCATGTGCAGGTATGCACAAACATGCCTGCAGACTTAAGCCCGTGCCTCCTCTTTACTGGGTTTATCGTGGCATCTTTGGGAGATTTACTCGAGGGCTGGAGCACAGACAATTCACTGATCTTAGAATTACCCTGACCCAGCTAAAAGCAAGCTCGCACCTCCCTCTGTGTGCAAAACTTTCCTGCGGTGGCAGAGAACAAACACCGGCATGAGCTGCAGGACGTGGACAAATTTGTGCTTCTGGTGCACCTCTTGCACCTCTTGCTCCTCGCCCCCCGAGCACTTAAGGATCCTGCAGGGCACATCAGGGCTGTTCAATCACGGATGTGCGTTTCCAAGCACACCAGAAAAAAAAGGAAAAAAGAAAAGAAAAAAAGGGTAAGAAAGCCTGAGCCCAGGAGGCACTGGATTGCTAAAAGTTTAAGTGGAAAGCAGGCGATGTGCCCCGGTGGGACGTGCAGCCCCCGCAGCAGTGGGACCCGCCGCGCTGCG